GTGGAGGGATACCCGAGCCGCCCTGTTCCGCTCCGCTGCCCGCAACTGCCTCATCGCAGACCGCCACAGGACCCCGGCTCCCAACTACTTACCAGGTCAGAGTGTTTGGCTTTCCTCCAAAGATCTCCCACTCAAGACAGAGTCGAAGAAACTCACGCCACGTTATGTCGGCCCCTTCATCATCGACTCAGTTATCAACCCATCTGCAGTAAAACTCAAGCTTCCCCCACACATGAAGGTTCATCCGACATTTCATGTTTCTCTGTTAAAACCTGTTGCCAGCAGCCCCTTGTCTCCTCCAGTGAGTGTTCCCCCACCCCCCCGCATCATCAATGATCACCCAACCTACACCGTCAGGCGATTGTTGGACGTTCGTCGCCGTGGAAGGGGATTCCAATATTTTGTGGATTGGGAGGGCTATGGTCCAGAGGAGAGGTCTTGGGTTCCCCGGCGAAACATCGTGGGCGCGTCCCTGGTTCGGGACTTCCACCGGGATAACCCTGGTAGACCTGGTAGACCGCCTGGAGGCGTCCCTTAAGAGGGGGGTACTGTGGTGGCTCTACTCTTCAGCCACCTCCCTTGTGAGTGTGTGTTCCCTTTCCCTGTCTGTGTGGGCGTGGTGGCTGTCACTCCTGGCTCCCGGCTCAATCTCCACCTGCTGCAAATCTCCACCTGGTGCAATCAGCTTTACACACCTGATTCCCATTCAGCCATTTACTAATGGTATATCAGCGGAGGCTCCACAACATGTCAGCGCCAGATCGTTGTTTAAACCCCAGTGGTAACTCTCAGCCTTCTTAGCCGATTTAAAACTATTTCTCTGTACACGGAATACTTTTCTCATCTGTTTCTCTTATGCTCCAGGATCACTATCCAGCCGCCTTGTTACCATCACCTGCCGCCACCAGTCATCATTCCAACCGGATTACTCTCCACACTCACCAGTCTTCATTCCTACAGGATTACTCTCCACGCTCCTCCACCTCACAATAAACCTTTTTCCAACACTCTGCCGTGTCCTGCGTTTGGGTCCTATCGGATATCGTAACAGAGACACACGTTCACTAAGCGGAAAAACTATATCATGTCACAGAGATCTGCTATTTTAAAGTAAAGTCAACACATATCGACCCTAAATAAAGTCTATATTAAGAACGAGAGATGGTTTAACGTATGGCTTAAACAAATGACAAATGAGCGAGGGTGATGACGTCAGAGCATCGTCCTATGTGCCGGGGCTGAGCCCCGGACAGCCCCGGCCCAATTTAACCCCATGTCATATGAGAGGCCCCGCCTTACATTTTCCGCCACAGATTTGGGGAAATTGGTCCGTGCGCAAAGCATTGTGGGGATTTTAAGGACGCGAAGTCTACCCATGTGCAGCCTCGAAATTTCCCCCAGACCAAGGATGCGGCCTCGGTGGAATTCCAAGTATGCTGGACATTGGAACGGTCCTGCTGTGCCACTTGATGACGTAGCATCCTTGAAATATTGGCTTGGAAACCAGTATCCTCGAGATTGAGAAACGGCCACAGTCTGCACACACACAATTATGGCAGAAGCAAAAAAGCCCAAAATATATAATTTTCACTCCGAGTGGGGGGTTGATTATTTTTGTATCTATTCCAATTCAAAGTCCATCTGTCTCATCTGCAATGCGAGCGTGGCTTTACCGAAGAAGGGTAATTTAGGAGCGGCATTTCAAAACAGTGCACAAACGCTACGAGACGGAATTCCCTCCTAATTCTGCCCTACGCTCCCAAAAGGTGAGGGACCTGAAAGGACAGCTAAATGCACAGCAGTCCATTTTCACCAGGCCCAACAACAAGAGCAAGGCTGCTACCATAGCATCTTAACGTGTCAGTCACGTTCTTGCGAAACACATGAAGTCTTTCAAAGACGGCGAAGTTGTGAAAGAAGCATTCCTGGAGGCTGCCAACGCGCTTTTTGGGGACAGTAAAAATAACATAGCATTTCAACAGGTTTTTGATATAATAAAAACTCAAGTTAGATACCGTTATTAATCAGCTGTAAGTTTTAGTTTGTTTGAACTTATTCATTATAATTATTGTACAAAATGGTATAAGAATGCAAACTTAAATTGATTATAGTCTATTATCAATTCAGGTTAAGAAACTAGTGTTGCTTGCATCCTATTTTAAAGGCATTTATTTTTATACTCTACTAAAATGCAACAAAAAAAGGGTTTGATTCTATTAATTTTGTCTTTTTTATTGCACTTTGTCAGCAGATTCCTGTGTAGCTTCAGATCTGAGTTGTCTTATTAGTAAGCCTAATTTATACTTTTGTATCAACACTATTTTTATATAATGGCAAAGAAAGGGTTCAGAGTCTTTTCTTTTTTTCCTGTGCCATATGTGGCAGCACTGTTCAATGTTTCTTGAAAACATTACCCACTGTAGTTTGTGACGTGTGAATAAACTCCAACTCTGTATCAACAACACTGTTGTGTAACTTCAGTTAAATACTTGTATGTGTGTAGATTAGAAAGAGGTAAGATAAAGGATCTGCAGTATTTTATGAAGTATTCATCGTACAAAGGTCAGTTTTATACAAGTAGAAGTGTGTATTTACATGGTAGTAGGCTGTCGGTAATGGCTACGCCTCTCTATTTGGACAGGTAGATCTCGGCAGACTGGCAACTTTAAAAGTAGCTCTCGGTTCAAAAAAGGTTGGGCACCCCTGATCTAAGCTAATCTAATGTAGCTGGAGGTGCCAGTTTGCCTCATATGCACCAAACCCAACTACCCCCATCTGACACCTCTCCATTAGTGCATGTGTATAGGTCCTGTTTGTGCACGCATGTATTTCTGCCAATAATTAAAGTAAATAATAGTTAATAACTAAACATAATTTGTTGCACGTATAATGTCTATAGCATAACGATAGCTAATTCTCTAAATGAATGGTTGTCTTTACGTGACTGATTATGTGTTAGTATGAATAACATAATTATGAAATCTGCCATTGTGATGAAGTCCAGGATAATTTGTTGTTGAATGTTTTAAACTGATGCCATATACTTGACAGATATTTGACTTGGCTTGTTCGAGATCCCCCCCCCCCTATGAGCCCAGTGTGCTCTGATTGGTCAGCTCGCCCACTCAGTTCTGTTGAGTCCACCACCGTTACTTTACAGATGTGGATGAATGATGTGAAATATAATCAAGTGTTAAATCAGACTTTAGTTCCACCTGGAGTAAATTCACAAGCTACCCTGCAGCATACAAAGTCATTCAAACTAGCTGCACCTTTACCAGCTTTGAGTAACTGGATGGCCTACCTGCCTGTCAGCCTTCCATCTGTGCACAAACTTATCTCGTGCCCTCATTGGTCATGTGCGCGTTCGTGTGTGTTGGAGGAGGGGCTCTGTAAGGAAGTGGCAGATTTTTTCCGGTTGTGTATTTTCAAATTCTAGCGCACTCGAGCCGGTTTCTCCAAAATTACCTACCCCACCTTTAACACAGAGGAAATCACGATAAAAATACATGTTACAAACAAACAGTTTAATCATCAAACAAGTGCAAATAACAAAGCAAACTATAAACATAAATACAACCGTTCCTGCTGGGCCAGATCTGCACTGTGCATCTCCCTCAGGACTGTGAGGTGCTCCTCTCCTCGTTTCCTCTTGCCTGGAAGACAATAAGATAAACCTTTTTTTTTTTTTTAAATCACCGTAGGGAAATTCAGGTGTCATAGCAGCAACAGCAATGAGAATGAAAAACACAGGACAGGTACAGGTCACGTAAGGATATAAGAATAAAATATATAAGTATAAACAGAACAACGGTAAGGATGAACTAAAGACGGTTCTGGCCCTAGATGTTTACAATGATTGTGAAAGTGAATTACATTATGTCCAGCCTGTTGATAATGAATATAAATATATGTATACATATGTAGGAGTATGTACAAATATACAGTCATGAAGTGAATGGATAATTACAAATGAATATAAGTATGAATAATTATGAGACCAGTTTAAAGTGCAAAAATACTTAACAATGAAGAATATACAAGAATATATTAGGATGTCACACACAATTTTACTAGCTGCAACATTAATAGTGATTCTTACTACTTTTACTTTTGGTACGTTACTTTACTTGTAACAGAGCATTTCCACACATTGGTATTGCTTATTTTACTTACTGACAATGATCTAAAGTTTAAAAAAAGTCACAATTCCAGTCGTTTTGCCATGCCTATTTCTTACTTAACTCTAGAAAACTGGACGTAAACAATGGTACATATGGTGTTAGCAAACAATAGCTCTTGCTAATGCTATCTGTGCTAACCGTAGCTCTTCGGGGCTCCATAAAAGCATGGGTTGTTGAACATAAATGTACGGATAAAATAGGCATGCTTGTTAGAAATGAGCTTTACAATAGATAGGGACACAACGCTTTCAAGCAAAGAACAGAGCGTTAGCAAAAACGTACCATCCTGCAGCCGTTGCAGAGTCCAGGCGTCGTTTCGCGTTGCGACGTCGAGCTCCCGCTGTATTTTTTCATCCGCAACGAGATGGAGTAACGTCTGTACCTCGTCAAACAACCACGGCGTGTTTTTTTTGTTGCTGCCATTTCTTTAAGGATTTGTTTAACGGCAGCTTGTCTGTTTTAAAAATTGTGCTTATGCGACGCTTGGGGACTGTCTCGCGCAACGATTTTGACGATTCTCTCTGACCAATCAGCAGTCGGGAGTGTTTACGTCACTAGTTTAGCATATTCAGCTCGGTTGTTGGCTCGGTAGGAACCTCGATTTTCGAGGACCAGAAAAAAAGTTAAAAAGTACTCGTGAGCCGGAACTACCCCTAGTGGAAAAGCAAAAAAAAGCGGGCCCGGCCAAACTAAACCGTGCTAAGCCGTGCTAGGTCCTGCAGTGGAAAAGCGCCAAAAGTGAATTTCAGTGAAGTCATTAGAGGAGGGGGAGGGGAGCCATGACTGACTGTATACTCCTGTCTGCTGTGTTTTCAGCTTCACTCAGAGACAACATGGCTTCCAGGTTAGAGGAAGATCTCTGCTGTCCGGTCTGTCAGGAAGTCTTTAGAGATCCTGTTCTTCTGTCCTGCTGCCACAGCGTCTGTAAAGCCTGTCTGCAGAACTGGTGGGATGGGAAAGAAGTAAAGGAGTGTCCAGTTTGTAAGAGAAAATCTTCAAAGGAATTCGTTCTTAACTTTGCTTTAAAGAACCTGTGTGAGACCCTCTTACTGGAGAGAGATCAGAGATCTCCAGAGGCTCTCTGCAGTCTGCACTCTGAGAAACTCAGACTCTTCTGTCTGGACCATCAGCAGCCAGTGTGTCACATCTGCAGAGATTCAAAAACACACACCAACCACAGAATCAGACCCATGGATGAAGCTGCTCAGGATCTCAAAGAGGAGCTCCAGAAGTCTCTGCAGCCCTTAAAGAAGAAACTGAAGCTCTTTGAAGAAGTTAAAGTGAAGTTTGATCAAACAGCAGGACACATGAAGGTCCAGGCTCAACACACAGATACGCAGATTAAGGAGCAGTTTAAGAAGCTTCACCAGTTTCTAGAAGAGGAAGAGGAGGCCAGGATGGCTGCACTGAGGGAGGAAGAGGAGCAGAAGAGGAGGGTGATGGAGGAGAAGATGGAGGCTGTGAGCAGAGAGATAGCAGCTCTTTCACACACAGTCAGAGCCACAGAGGAGGAGCTGAGAGCTGAAGACGTCTCCTTCCTGCACAACTACAAGGCTGCAGTGGAGAGGCTGCAGCGCCCCCTGCTGGAGGATCCACAGCTGCCCTCAGGAGCTCTGATAGACCAGGCCAAACACCTGGGCAACCTCAGCTTCAACATCTGGAGCAAGATGAAGGACATGGTGTCCTACTCTCCTCTCATCCTGGACCCAAACACTGCTCAGCCATTACTCATCCTGTCTGAAGATCTGACCAGAGTGAGAGGAGGAGGAGAGAGACAGGAACTTCCTGATAATCCAGAGAGGTTTGATAAACACATCTGTGTCCTGAGCTCTGAGGGCTTTAACTCAGGGACTCACAGCTGGGATGTCCAGGTTACAGACAGTACATCCTGGGTACTGGGTGTGTCAGCAGAGTCTGTCCAGAAGAAGGGAGACATATGGTCTGGATTCTGGAGAATATGTTTCTTTAAAGGTAAATACTCAGCATGTTCACCACCAGCTCCACATACTCCTCTCAGCCTGAAGAAGGAGCTCCAGAGGGTCAGAGTGAATCTGGACTGGAACAGAGGAAAGTTGTCGTTCTCTGATCCTGACACTAACACACACATACACACCTTCACACACACTTTCACTGAGAAGATGTTTCCATACATTTACACTCTGGAGGAAGTGAAGATATTACCACTGAAGGTGTGTGTGACAGTGGATCAGAGCAGGTAGAGATCAACAGGATCATTATATCTATGATGAGCATCTCTTAAAGGGATCATTCACTGACCTCTGAACCTGTCCTCCTGCTGTGTCTTTATTCTAAACATGTTTTTATTCTTGTTGTTATTGAGTTTGATAATCTGCTTTTTGATCATACTGTCAACCTTTATTAAATTGAAACATGTGCATTTAGCAGACACTTTTATCCAAGTAACATCATGTTCATCAAATATGCTGAACTGCTTCCTTTAGAGGAAATAAGATATATATATTCTTTACATTTGAAATTATCTCACCCAGATTCAGATCTTTATGTCAGGTTATAGTTCAACCTTCTCTGTTTTATTGATTCTATGTCGTTATAAATTGTTAATTTGTTATTTGTGCATGATGGGAAAATAAATAAATAATATGTTTAATCCAACTGCGAGTTTGAGCAGCGAATCATTTATCAGATCCAAAATAAAATGCATTTTTTATTAGTTTTATTACATGCAATTTTAAACTTGTATAATCATATAAAACATACAGAGTTACTGGGTTTAAATTAACTCCCTGACAGACCTCTTCGTCAGGGAATAAAATAAATGTTTTAAAGAGATTTCTAAGTATTTAAATACAGAGTAAATGTTAAACCCAGTTTTCCCAGGAGAAGCCTAAACAGAGAGGACGACCCATTGCTGTTCAGCGTGGATTATCAAATGCACACGTTTATTAACTCTAAAGGATTTAATCTCAATCTAAAATACTGATTTCTTGGCAACGGTGTGTTATCGAGTATTAACAACCTCTTAAACTTCTAATTTGACCAATCAGAGTTGAGTATTCAGCTAAGACGTTTAATAAAATATAATAATATATAGTAAAGTCAAATATATAATGGAGAAGATAAAGTAATGTGTGCACTACTTGAATATATAAAAACATGTATGTTACAATAGAGTTATTCATTAACATTAATAATGATGTCACTCAGATTATTAAAGCAGCAACAATCACATTTAATGAGAAAAGAGCAAACAGATGTTACAATGCTGTCAAATAATAAACAAACTAACATTTCTGATTAAATCAGTTTCTCAAGAACAGAGGTTTCTTCAGACTGAAAACAAGTTGCTTCTTTTCCTCATTTTATTCATGTTTATTTCCTCACTGACATGACGCGTCTCAGAATAAAAAGTAGGAATAGTAGAGTCTGTTGAAACTTGGTCGTGATTGGTCTAAAATACAGAGAGTTGTCAAACACCATCAGAATGCTACAGCTAATTCAGAATGCTGCAGCCAGACTGCTCTTCAACCTCCTCCTGTTCTCCCACTACTCCTCTCCTCCACTCCTCCACTGGCTGACAGTGAGGTGGGAAGTAGTGGAGTACAAATACTTTGTTTCTGTACTTAACTTAATTTTTCTGGTATCAGTACTTTACTCCACTACTTATTTTTCTGACAACTTTTTACTTTGACTTCTTACATTTTGAACACAAATACCTGTACTTTCTACTTCTTACAAGTTGAACACAAATACCTGTACTTTCTACTTCTTACATTTTGAACACAAATACCTGTACTTTCTACTTGTTACATTTTGAACCCAAATACCTGTACTTTCTACTTGTTACATTTTGAACACAAATACCTGTACTTTCTACTTGTTACATTTTGAACACAAATACCTGTACTTTCTACTTGTTACATTTTGAACCCAAATACCTGTACTTTCTACTTCCTACATTTTGAACACAAATACCTGTACTTTCTACTTGTTACATTTTGAACACAAATACCTGTACTTTCTACTTCCTACATTTTGAACACAAATACCTGTACTTTCTACTTGTTACATTTTGAACACAAATACCTGTACTTTCTACTTGTTACATTTTGAACCCAAATACCTGTACTTTCTACTTCCTACATTTTGAACACAAATACCTGTACTTTCTACTTCTTACATGTTGAACACAAATACCTGTACTTTCTACTTCTTACATTTTGAACACAAATACCTGTACTTTCTACTTGTTACATTTTGAACCCAAATACCTGTACTTTCTACTTCTTACATTTTCCAAACAGGCTGGTTCCTTTAGTTTGAATGTGTGTTTGGTGGCGTGATCATTATTATTAAGAGTCATTGCGTGCCTATTGATTTGAACACGATCCGTGTATCCATCATTTCCTGGTCTTCTCTAAAGAAGAGGGACCAATGAAAACGTTGTCATGTTGCCGTTGTTCAGCATGGAAACATTCATTAGCTAACAATGACATTATTGTTCTATTAATATAAAGGGAGGTCAGGTACTCTTTAAAACAGCTGGTAGTTATGGGTACTTTTTACTTAAGTACATTTCAAAGCCTTCTTTACTTTTACTTGAGTAAAGAAGTTTAGTCAGTACTTCTACTTTTACCAGAGTATTTTTAAAACACGAGTATCTGTACTTCTTCTGCTTGAGTAAAGGATGTGTGTACTTTTGCCATCTCTGCTGCCAGTTAATGCAATAATCCAATTCAAGACACTGGTGCTGGCCTTTGTTAAACTCCAGCTCGTGCACTTCACTCGGCATCAGCCAATCAGATTGCTGCTCCCACTGTGAGTGGGACCCAGGTAACCCCCAAAAACACACTATCCTGGCTCCGAAATCAGAATCAGAATCAGTTTTATTACCAGGTAGGTTGATACGTACGAGGAATTTGGCTTGGTGTGTGGTGCATACATAAAAACCAAAAATAACACAACTATTTCATGAAAAATATAATAACATTAAAAATAACACAAAAATATAGTAAAATAAAAAAAACAGTATTTACATTGAAATAGAATGGAATAAAATATGTGCAGTAATAATAAAAGACCAGATATTGTGTACATTGTGTGCATTAATGTGATGCAGAGAGTCTGCGTTGTGGCTGAGGGAAAGTGTCAGTGGGAATGAATGGTGGAACGAGCTCCTCATTGACATCAGGAAAGCAGAAACTCTGCATTTCTTCCCTCACAAACTGAAAACTGTTTCCATTGTATCTTGGCAATTCAATTCTTGCATAAAAAAAAGCACTTCAAAAAGTTATTTTAGGCCTGGGGTGTCAAACTCAATTTCTTAACCCGATAATAAACCTGATTCTGAGTCTGATTGACAATGTCATCATCCTAACATTTAGATAACAGGATTGTTTTCTTTACATCTAAAGTAAATGACATTCAATTATAAATCAATAAGAGATGAAAATAAAGCAATGTTTCAGAAATGTAACATAATATGCGAGGGTCTTTCTCTTGTTGTCTCATAAACAATGGGATCTTTAGAAAACTAATGAAACAAAAACGCCTTCACTGGAAAATGGAAAAACGACCAACTGATCTCTTTCATGATTAAAAGAACAATAAGTAAAATAAGCAAACACTTAACTAATGTAAAAAGGTGTAGCGCTGCGGCTAAAATCCCATTAAAGAACTATTTAATAAACAAATTCATCCTGTTGACTAATCATATTATGCCAGATTAAATTAAATGCCATCATCTATCATCTTCTAGTTAAACTCATTAATACACACCTTATATAAATTATAAGCAGTATGGTCATTTTAAGTTAATTAACTTCACCCATAAAGACAACTTCTAGAGAAGCACAGGGGAGATTCTGCTCAGCCTCCTGTGGCGTTTTCTCCTGGAGGCTGGGTATTTCTTTATATTTTTTATTTGTATTAAAAAACATCTCTCCGCTGTTGTCAGTGAGTATTTTACAAAGACTGAAACAGCGCCCCTCTTAATTAATCTGTGGTGAAACACAGTATTGCACGCTACACTCACAAAACACCCGCAGTGCGCTGTGTCAGGGACATGTCAAGGAAAGCCCGCCGGCCTTCCCTTCCAACGATTTGATTGGTCGGAAGGAAAGCCCGCCGGCCCTTCCCTTCCGACCAATCAAATCGTCGGAAGGGAAGGCCTGACTGACGTGCCGTGCGTGACGCTGTGTCTCAACTGCCGTAGCGACAAGATGCAGATATGAAATCTCCCTTCTACACAATATAATATTTGCAAGTATAGAGTAGTGGCTGATGTTTTTAGTCAGAAACAGGTAAACTGTAGTGTACACTTACTACTAATAAATAACTTTAGTGCCGAGTTACTTATTTGCACTGTAAGAGACTATATTAATGCAGCCTCTGTCGGTCTTCTCACTCTCACTTTCCCGCCACATCTGGCCACATCTGGCCGAACAATGAAACCTAGCCAAAGTAGCTAAATAGCATTAAACATATAGCTGCTAATGCTATCTATATAATGCCGATTGAAGAATGATGGTCACAGAAAAGAGTAAGCTAAATTAAGTTAAAATTAAAATAAATATAATAATAAAAGAAGATGGGCCTAAAGGAAAATAATTGTCATCCAGGCAGCTGAACTCAAACAATATTTAGCTGTTCAACATTGGCAAAACATATTTATTTAAGTTAAAAAAATATTTATTTAGACCCCTAGCTTGCTCACATTATGACAATATATCTGCTCACTTTGTTAAAAACGTTTTGTTTCTGTAATAACTTACCTAGTGTTAGACTCTCCTCCGCTGACACAGCCATCCTCCACACCAGCCAGAGGTGAAAGGGCAGTTTGGATATTTGATGGACAGTTGGACAGTTGAAAAATGATACATTTTAAATAACTCAACCATGATTGGGCAGGACAGTGGACACACTAATGTGTTGACTATGTGCATTTTATATACAGTCTATGATTTTAACTAACGGCTCTAGTCTGCTCACAGGGACTATTTTTAACAACTACATGCAGCAAACAAACGGCAAAGGAACAAGAGATTAAAGGAACAACTGCTTCAAACGGTGAGTAACGGACACAATAAAGAGTGTGCACACTGAAGACGCCGCAATACCCCACCAGGAAGTCGGGCTCCTCCAGACTGTATGTTGGCATGGCAAGGACTTGTGTGTGTGAGGCGTTTTGAAAACCATCATTATAATCTTTAATCACTGTTTCCTATACTTTTTCCCTTTAACCCTTTGTGTCCCCCAGGTGGAATGCATACTATAGTATATGAGTACTTTATTTGGGGTATTTTAAGTAGATTTTTCGTACTAGTTTTACTTGAGTACAATAGGAATGCAGGATTTCTTCAACCTCTGTATTTATATTTAAAAAAAATGGCCTTTAGTTGAACACTTTCTTTAACTCTGCTGCCACCTGCTGGTATAAGTAGTTCGTGCACCTTACACACAGACAGACACGTGACCAGAAGTCTGCTTTTCATGAGAGCAACAAAATACCCTTCAAAAATAAAGGCACCAACGTCCTTCTGTGATATTTATTATGAATTAGAACAATTCTTTATTGCTTTTTATCGTGTACAGACTTTTCCCTTGCATTCTTAATGTACTGGTTCTGCTCAAAAAAAGGTTTTAGTTCTTCATTTCCGTAGATCTATATTAGTAGATCTATATTAACAAGGCTTTTAGTCTGAAGAAGGAAAACTCCGAGTGGAAATGTTCGCTGTTCATGAACACAGCTCAGGTTACATATACCTGGCTGTCACTGACACACAGAGGCATTACGCTGCTAAGAAGACTGCGATGGTAAACTAAAGTGGGAGTGTACAGAGGGGGGAGTGTTTGGTCCAGACCTACGGATATTTTTGAACTAGCCTAATGCTAGGACATCAAAGTGGAAACAACTATGGAGGATAACTGTGAGTAGTCGCTAACGGTCGGAATGGAACTGTGCAGTTTTCAAATGGGACGCGCGAGCCTTCAGGCACGGGGCTATTCTGAATGTCAGTTTGTTTATTTACGCTAAAAGAGGTGGAAAGTGTATTTTTCCATATCAGGTAGGACAGTAATGCTCCACAGAGAGATGCTGGATACACGTCAGCACCTCCTCACACAACGGTACCATTGATACACAGAGCATAAGTCAGCAGCAATGGCTGTGAAACCTAGGAGACCGTTGGTGACCGTTATTTTCGGCGTGTTTCTCGGATTCACCGCTTCTACGTGGCTCTTTGTACCTCAAGTTCTGGAGAGTAAAGGGAAGAAATCTCCCGTGTGTTTGTACCATAGTCACAGTGATTCCTCCGCCGGGAAAGGTCCCTTCATCCCCGGGGAAAGCCCACAGCTCAGCCCGGAGGAGGACAGGACATCCAGTCCGGGCAACAGCACCGGGGGGAGAACCACAGGCAGGCCGAAACGGTTCCTTTATGTCGGCGTCATGACAGCCAAGAAGTATCTGGATACCCGAACCGTGGCTGCCTACCAGACCTGGGTGAGCTCCATCCCCGGGAAAGTGGAGTTTTTCTCCAGCGAGGGATCCGGGTCCATCCACTTACCTGTCCCCGTGCCCGTGGTCTCGCTGGCAGGTGTGGACGACTCGTACCCTCCACAGAAGAAGTCATTCATGATGCTGAAATACATCCACGACCACTACCTGGATAAATATGAGTGGTTCATGCGGGCAGATGATGACGTTTACATAAGAGGTGAATATTTTGGGAGTGAATACAAAGTGTGTGTGTGTGTGTGTGTGTGTGTGTGTGTGTGGTGTGTGGTGTGTGTGTGTGTGTGTGTGTGTGTGTGTGTGTGTGTGTGTGTGTGTGTGTGTGTGTGTGTGTGTGTGTGTGTGTGTGTGTGTGTGTGTGTGTGTGTGTGTGTGTGTGTGTGTGTGTGTGTGTGTGTGTGTGTGTGTGTGTGTGTGTGTGTGTGTGTGTGTGTGTGTGTGTGTGTGTGTGTGTGTGTGTGAGATAAATGCAGGTCTTTAGTCAGAATAAGTCAGGCGAAGCCCAGATTCTAATGTTAAGGGCCTCAATGGCTGTTTTGCATTGCATTAGTGTTGTTTATGGCCCTGTGTCAAAAACCTACATGATGCCTATTCCAAATGTGTTAGACCAAATTACAGCAAACACAGTAGGGCCCTCATCTGATTTTGACTGAATTAGCTAAGACTAATACATGACTGCTTATTGGCCAATCTAACCAAGTTTAAAACTCAGTTTTGATACTGACGTTTTACAGTAGAAGTTATGGTCACCATTAGCAATAGTTACATTATATTCACCAAGTTAATTGATGATATCTCAGAACATGGCCCATGTACGCAGGAGCAGTGAGACAGAGACTATGGGTTTGAAACAAACCAACAGGTTAGACAAACACAGAGCTGTGTTTTAGGAAAGGAAGCTTTTGTGTGGATGATTTATTTACTAAGCCTGGCATAGTTTTGTTCATGATTTGTTCAAAATTGTCTTAGTTTCTTATTTCCTTTCAAAGGTCACCTATTATGCAAAATCCACTTCTTCATGTCTCTTCTACATAAACATGTGTCCCCTCTGTGTAAAGAGATTCTGAAAGTTTCAGGAACAAAGATTCTCTCTCTTTTTGCCCTGATCCATTTATATAAAAACCTGTCTGAAAATGAGCTGATCAGATTTTGGCCACTTTTATGATGTCATAACGATTTTTTGGCTTGTGTAACCAATAGCCAATCACCCATTTATTGAGTTAATACGTTTGGCATAACTTATAAACGTATCTTATCTATACGTTTTAAACCAACTCATCTGTTCCACTTTGACCCTCCTGCAGGTGAGAAGCTGGAGGCGTTCCTGCGCTCCCTGAACAGCAGCAAGCCTCAGTACCTGGGCCAGACGGGCCTGGGCATGGCCGAGGAGCTGGGTCGCCTGGCTCTGGAGCCCGGAGAGAACTTCTGCATGGGGGGCCCCGGGATGATATTCAGTCGAGAGGTTCTCCGCAGGATGGTCCCTCACATCAGCACCTGTCTGAGGGAGATGTACACCACCCACGAGGATGTGGAGATTGGCCGCTGTGTGCGACGCTTTGGAGGAACACAGTGTGTGTGGTCGTATGAGGTAAGAACTGAGGCGGTTCTTTCAGGGAAATTCATTGTCATAAAGTCAATATTCAGTGACCGGAAGTATGGTTAGTATTGCTGGATTCAGTTATCAGAAATCCTTTATTTATTTGTCCTGCATTGGGGACATTTACGTTATTAACTTTGGTAAACTTTACAGGTTTATAATATCCTTCTTATAAACAGTTTTCAGTACCAGTTAGATATTAGATATCTCATTCAATCTAAAAGCATGACAACTTATTTTGTTTTGCTTATTTGGGGATGTCAAATCATCGCATGCCAGTCCACAACAAAGCTCAGTTTTATTGCCTGTGCAGTGGTTTATATGGACTTGGAAAAACATTAGGCCTTATGACAGTTAGAGAGTTATTGTGGTACTAGGACATGATCCATGCTCTTACCCTTTCTTTCCACAGATGCAGCAGCTCTTCTACGAGAACTATGAACACAACAAGAGAGGTTTCATTGAAGAACTTCACAGCAGCAAGATCCACAACGCCATTACACTCCACCCCAACAAGAAGCCGGCCTACCAGTACCGTCTGCACAGCTTCATGATGAGCCGGGAGATCTCCAGACTGTGTTACCAAAGCATCCTGCTGCACCGGGAGGGCCTGATGATGAGTCACCTGAGTGATAGTGAAGTGCTGTGGGAGGACCAACAGCTGGGCTCCCCTCCTTCCTACATGCGCTTTAAACCAGGCGATAGGAATGATGTCATTGAGTGGGATTTCCTGACTAGTCGCCACATTTATTCTGCTGCCGAGAACAAAGTGGCCCGGCAGAGCCTTGGCAACTTGCTTCGTACTGCAATGGAAGACGTTATACGCCAGGTCATGGAAATGATTAACGAGAATTCCAAAACACGCGGCCGTGTAATTGACTTTAAGGAGATCCAGTACGGCTATTACAGGGTGGATCCGATGCATGGCGCAGAATACATCATAGACTTACTGCTTCTCTACAAGAAACACAAGGGACGTAAGATAACAGTGCCTGTGAGACGACACGCTTACCTTCAGCAGTCGTTCAGTCGTCCCTTCTTCACTGAAACTGAAGAGTTAGACGTATCTGAACTCGTCGCCGCCATCAACTCTGAGTCACAATCCCTGTCTTTCCTGTCCAACTCGCTGAAGTTTCTGTCACCTTTCCAGGTCTACGAATCAAACAGGGAGATGTGGGAGCAGAGCCAAAGAAAAGTCAACATCCTCGTCCCATTATCAGGTCGCTACGAGAACTTTGTCCGCTTTATGGAGAACTTTGAGAAAGTGTGTTTGATACCTAAACAAAATGTTAAGCTCTCCATCATTCTGGTAGACAATGAGAACATCGAAAAACACGCTCCGTTAATCAAAGACTACAGCAGGAAGTATCCCAAAGCTGACCTGTCAATCATCCCCATGACAGGCAACTTCTCACGAGGCCTTGCTCTTGAGCTGGGGTCCTCGCAGCTGGATAACGACTCCTTACTCTTCTTCTGCGATGTTGATCTCATCTTCAGTGGGGATGCCTTGCAGCGTTGCAGAGAAAATGCTGTCCAAGGGAAACAAGTCTACTTCCCTGTTGTCTTTAGTCAGTACAACCCCAAGATAGTGTACTCTGAGAAGGCCCCGAGAGAAAACAAATTTGTGCTGACCAAGAAAAGTGGTTTCTGGCGGGATTACGGATTTGGAATCACCTGTGTTTTCAAGAGTGATTTAATAAAAGCCGGAGGTTTCGACACCTCGATATTAGGCTGGGGATTGGAAGACGTAGACTTGTACACGAAAGTGATTAATTCTGGGTTGAAAGTGTTACGCAGTCAAGAACCAGGAATTGTTCACCTTTATCATCCTGTCCACTGCAACACAAGTCTTGAGCAGAAGCAATACAAGATGTGCCTTGGGTCGAGAGCAAGTACGTTTGCATCGACAATGCAGTTAGCAGAGCTGTGGCTGGAGAAACACGTAGAGACGGGCTACAACAGAACCGCATCCTGACCCTTCAGCCCTCCTGGACTCAACACAGGTGTAGCTCAGTCTGCTGGGACGCATGTTGTGGTGTGACAGTGGATCACAGCTCTTTGTAGCCTGGACAATCTGATCCAGAAAGTGCAGGAAACTGAAATGGACCAATCCAGTAAGGCCACACAAATCCAAACTGACGACACAGCAGGGAAGAAACCAGAGGTAACCAAGTATGGGATTGCTGTGTCCAGATGTTGGAAGCCTTCATAAGACAAGTGTCCTCTACCTTAACCAGTTCTAAACCAACTAAGGAAATCATGGACTAAATCCAAATGTGTTGTTAGTTTCAGAATTATTGATTTGTTAACTGCTGTGCCAATGATGCAAACGTATAGCTTTGTAACCGTCCAGCTCTTAGGGATTGATTTAGAGGGTAACTAACTCTCTTAACATTTATATGAGCGGTTCCCAACCTGTGGGAACGCATTGCAAGTGGGCCGCCAAATAATTTGCAAAACATTATGATTTGTGTGGAAACAATTCATTATTAAGATTTAATTTAATTTTAACATATTTTACTTTCTCTTTCTTGATCCTCCTTAGTCATTACAGTCCTTGACAGCGCTCTGTACTACTGGACTAACAACGTGTCACATGTTCTGAATTGACCAATCAGAACTTTATTTAGCCTCCGTATTGTTAATGGTTGAATGTGGGCCGCGAACATTTTTTAGATTCTTAAGTGGGCCCTGAGTTGAAAAAGGTTGGGAACCGCTGATTTATATAACATGTATAAATTACCTACTTTGAGAAGTCCCAAGCTTTGGTTTTTGAACAATGACCAAAGAACAAGCTGTATCACCCAAAATACCTGACGATGGTGATTGCAAGTATTGTAATTGATATTGCTTATTAGCAGTTAACCAGTGACATGAATACTCTGCGCTATAGAGTCTTGTGAATGTGGAATATGGTTGCTGTGCCACGAGAAGCAGCATGGACTGCAACGATACAATCTGTAAGTGTTTATGTGTGTGAAAAAAAGTCAATCTTCATTAGGCGCTTTCACACCGGAGTACTTTTCCCCGTACTTTTGCCTTTTAGTTCCGATAGTTCCTGGGATTTTGCGTTCACACCAAAAAGAGAACTTAGTTCATGAGAACTTTTCCCCCCTTTTCAGTCCCTGCTAGAGAGGTGGTACTTTCCTGGGGAGAAAAAAGTTCCAATTTCTGATTGGCTGGGCGAATTGCAAACCACGCCCCGTAAACCCAAAGCAGAAGAAGAAGAAGTGACGTCAGCGGCTTCATTTGCGTAATCTTTCCTCAGGGAACTTATTCCGGTGTGAACGCGATCTGCTCTTTAGTTCCATGGGGGAACTAAGTGCTGGGAAGTGAACTAAGTACGGCAAAGTACTTGGTGTGAAAGCGGCTAATGAGAAGTTCCTTTCTACTCACCTGAAGCTACGGCTGCTTACTGTCCCTGCCCAAATGATTCCTGTTGTACTACTTTGCTAACATTATTTAGCATGTTCTCTACTTCTCTAATTTCAGTCAAGTAGTTGTTTTATTTTCTTTACTAATGCCTAACCCTTCAGCCGCTCAAGACTGTCCTGGCTAATTTCTTCCATTCATCAAAATGTAACTCCAGTGGACAGCTGATAGAATGTTTCCTTTAATAGCAGCTATCATCACTATGCCATTGGCTTTAACCTTTGATTTTCAAATGTAATGCCTACCTGACTGCTCACTATTGTCTGATTGAATCAAACATGTCTTAGAAAGTGTTGAATGGTAAGAATCTTCTGTGTTGCACTCTTAAGATGCTTGACAACAAAATCGTTTTTTTTAAGGCACTCTAAAGGCCCCAACACGCCATGCCAGGCCTCAAAGAACTGGTTTCAGCAGAGTCTGTGTTGCCTTACGTTACCTAGGTCATGGCCAAAAAGTTGCACTTGAACAATGGTTGTTAAAAGAGAACTGGATACAGCAATGGAGGCGAGTCCCTGTTTATTCCTATAAAAGTTGCCCAGTGGAGCCTGAAGCCAAAATGGCCTGAGTCTTTAAAACTAAAACAGGCCCATAGAGCATGTGCACCCTCGTTGCCCCTTAAGCCCCTCCTCCATTCAGCTCATCTATACAGCAGCCATTCTCTGCTTATTCAAATGAATGGAAGACGGAAAAAACACAAATCAGGATTCAGCTTTTAGGGCATTTTACAACGTTAAAGTGATTAAAGAAAGGCTATTAGAATTTGGTTGTCCTCTGAAGTTGAATCACGCAAAAAAAACGCTTATTTACAGTCGACCTAGTGTCCAATCGGTGGTACTACAACTTGTGTTTCAGTCCAAGAGGTAATTTTTTGCTTTGAGCTCAAGTAGGCAGAACAACACTTGAATAGCCCATATTGATTAGTCATTTTGTTCTCGAGAGTCACTGAACATCTTCCATAGGAATGAACGAGCCCCGCCTTCAACGCCGGATCTAGTTAACTTGTATCCATGTTTTAAAGGTCCCCTATTATACTGTTTTTCATCAATTTATTATAGGACTCAGATATATACAAAACATGTCTCTGAAGTGTTTGGCTCCAAACAGATCATTGCAGCATCCCATAATCCCCTCTGTTTCAGCCCTGTTTCCAAAGTGCTGATTCTCTGTCTGTTACTTTAGATGAAAAATAAGGAGCCCCTCCCCACGCCCCTCTGAGAGATATTTGATTAAAAAGAACACAATGGTGCTCTAGGAGGAGATTCAGGTCATAAGGTGGGGGGGTTACCTTGGTTGGTGATTGGCTAATGGTTACACAAGCCAAAACATCGTTATGACATCATAAAGTGGCCAAAATCTGATCAGCTCATTTTCAGACAGGTTTTTATATAAATGGATCAGGACAAAAAGAGAGAGAATCGTTGTTCCTGAAACTTTCAGAATCTCTTTACACAGAGGGGACACATGTTGATGTAGAAGAGACATGAAGAAGTGGATTTTGCCTCAAAGGCGTGGCAAGACCCTGAATTTTAGTAGAAAAGTTCCAAAAACAATTGGGTACAGTTGAGGAAACGTCATGGTACCAAATGGCATTTCCAATCAGTGTTGAGCAGACCTGCATGGGGGGGGGGAGTAAAGTGTCTGAGCAGGTTACGTTTCCTCTGATGGGACATTCAGATTAAGTGCAATGTCTTGTGTTTTTTTTAGGCAAACTGTAATCTGCAGGTACTAAAGGAAATGTATTTCACTGTTATAATATGAGCTTCTTCTTACTGCCATAGTTATTATGTTTACACTTCTGTCTCAGGACAACATTTTATCACCAGGTGCATTGCAGCCCTTTATGACACCATGTTCCTTCAGTTACTGCATACCAAATGTACAGAAATCTTTCGTGTTGTAACATGCATCCTAATGAGGATCTGAGCAGATGTTTTCTGTCATGAGTTCAGACGAGTGAATCACTGTACACGCCTCTATCTTTTCAGCAATACATCAAAATAAATTGTAATGTGAACAATGTCAGTTGAATGTCATCACAGGCAAATAATAGCTGGTGAATAATGCTAAAATATAAAGTTAACTATATTGTAATTATGTAAGGTACCAGATGTTATGTGTCAGTGTTTTTCTGAGCAATAAAGAAGTGAATGACGCAGATCACACACTAGTGTCAAACTACATTTCATTGCGGGCCACATTAGCATTATGGTTGCACTCAAAGGGCCGGTTGTAACTATATAAATATACATATATAAATATATAATATATATATAAAATAATGTATTATATTACACTATTGCTTCTGAATTGGATTATTATCGGATAGGATAATAACTTAGTAATTAACTACCAACTACGTGTGAAAGCAGAAGTCCAGGGCAAGTCTCTTCAGTGTGCATGTCACAAAACGAGATGCATTGTGGGACATGTAGTTTATGGGCAACCTGCTTCTGTAAAGTGGCATGTAACCGTAATAAAACGTATTATATTCTTTGCAAGCTCTTGCGGGCCACATAAAATGAAGTCACGGGCCGGATTTGGCCCCCGGGCCTTGAGTTTGACACCCCTGCACTAGAGTCTATTAACGTTTTCTACAGGAGACAAATGGAGTCTTATCTAATAACGAAAATGATCTCCAGCTATTGTTGTAAACAGTTGTTTTTCTTATCATAAGATACTAAGCCAAATGATAAGGTTATGTTTGTTCTTTGCTGTATTTAATGCACATTTCACTGGAGGATCATTTGCATGGATTCTGGCAAAAGTATGTTCATGTTTTTAAACCAAGCATAAAGTATACAGCAATAACAACTGCTAACGTAACACCTGATTATTCATAATAAATGTTGAAAAATAGATATTTGGTCATTGCTTTTATCAGGGTGTCCGCGGGGTCTTAAAAAGTTTTAAAAGTTGATAAATCAATTTTGCGAAAATGAAGGCTATTAAAAAGTATTAAACGGCATTTTCCAAGGTATTACATTTTGTAGCTTGTTTTCAATAAGTATATGAATTGTCCAAAGGGTTGTATTCTACAGTCTGCCTGAATGTAATCATTGCGTAGGTGTGTAGTGTGATTCTGTGTAGTTTATTTATGGCACCCCGTTGGATTTGACGTCATCTGAACAGGACATCGCACACTCATTGGCCGTTTCTCAATCGCGAGGATGCTGGCTTGGTAGCACAGCCGAGCCGAGCATCTTGCTTCAGAAGCAAGGCAAGAATACTTCCTGCTATTCGGAAAACGAAGAGTGGAACAGGCTAGCAAGTGTGCAGGTGTGTGTCATATGAGAGGCCCCGCCTTACATCTTCCGCCACAGATTTGGGGAAATTGGTCCATGCGCAAAGCATTGTGGGGATTTTAAGGATGCGAAGTCTACCCATGTGCAGCCTCGAAATTTCCCCCAAACCAAGGACGCGGCCTCGGTGGAATTCCAAGTATGCTGGAGATTGGAACAGTCCTTCGGCGGCACTCGATGACGTAGCATCCTTGAAATATTGGCTTGGAAGCCAATATCCTCGCGATTGAGAAACGGCCACTGCTTGATAGCGCGCGCAGGTCCGTTTAAGCCGGTTGTTAAACAACATCGTTATGGGGAAATGCAAGTTTGCGTCCAAACGGTTGGAAGATAAGGAGGAAGGACAATCTGTATATAGTAAATGTGAGGTAAAGTGTGTCGCCAAGGTAACCGGTTAAAACTCCAAGTGGCGATGAGGTCTTAAAATGTATGGAAAGGGTCTTAAAAAAGGTCTTAAAAGGTATTACATTTGACTTCAGGATTCCTGCATATACCCTGTTTATTCATTCAATGCATGAAGCTGAATATGTGACAATAGTATTTTAGATAAATCAGTGCATGCTTTTGTAGAAGAGCTGTATTCCCATTTTTCAAAAGCTTTAAGATTTACCCATTCAAAGTTATGCTGCACAAATTCTACCATTCAAAAGCTGCTGTGATTAAAAAATCAAGTTACGCACGGTGAGTATTAAAGGTCCCATGTCATGCTTTTCTGGTTATTACCCGTCCCCTTATGTGTTATGTAGGTTTTTCTGCATGTAAACGGTCTGCAGAGTCACAAACCCTCAAAGTACACCCTGTAGCGAGTAAAACTCTAACACAGAAAAGACCTGTCTATGCTGGCCCAGAACGCCTCGTTGGACATTTCTCTTTTTCCATTGTTTACTTCTTGGGTATAGTGACGTATTTCGGGTATAGTGACGTAACGTCCGCGGAGCCGTTACGTTTGGACCAATCCGCGGACTTCCTCACACACACACACTCGGCGGGACGTTGCGAGGCTCGCTGCTGCAAGGAGCGGGACAC